AATTTAGTTGCTGACTTTGCAATTTTAGTCCTTTGAGTCTTCAGCTCTTAACTTTCTTCCTCAACAATTACTCCAATCTTCACCTCCGCCCTCAACACTTCTTTTCTTCTTCAATTTAATCCATCTTTGTACCATTTAACTCCAATTATTATCAATCTTCTAAATCTTAAAAATAAAGATTTTATTAAGTAAAATCATCTTTAAAGAATATAAAAAGAACACAAAATCTTAAAGGGAATTATATAAAAATGTGTAAATATTAAACTCATCAATGGATAACCACTGCAAGCAATATGGATAAGCAGTAAAATTGTACGGACATGGTAAATACCACGAAGAAGGTGAGCAGTTTGGTGAATGCACTCCCCTATCCTTGTAGCTTTCGCATCCGATGATCAGTGAGTTGATCACATATTCACGCCAGTTGTATTCTGTCACCTTGTCCAGGTTGACAGGGGATTTTAGGATGTTGCAATTGCATCTGGAGCTGGTGTTGCCGGACAGGAAGGTGTGCGCTACCAAGACCAGGAAATCTCGTTTGAAGTCATCACCATAATCTGTTCGTTCTGAAAGTATTTTTGCCACCATTGATTTGAGTGGTGGCAGCCCGCTGTGTTGCATTCTCTACCTCCATCCAGCCACCATCTCAGTGTACTGTGGTTTATCCCATTCATTCCAGGTGAATTCATTTACTGGATTGGGGCCACGAGGAAGGTCAAGTACAACAACAACGTCCTTCTCTTTGAAATCCAGTATGCGGGTGCCGTTTAACGGGACTTCCTTCACCCCAATTTGGAAAATGCTGTCCAAAAACCTGCCTATAGATGGTGGAATATTCTTAATTTTGAGGTCTAGCTAGGCGTCAAACCCCAGATCTCTGATCGCCTGCCTTTGCAGATGGTGATAATCTATTGCGTCTAGATTTTATTCAGCATGTTTTGTGTCGTTGATCACAATGATCACCAAATTGAGATGTTTAGGTGTTATCCTGTAGTCAAATTTATTTTCATCAAGTGGTTGTGGATCTTATAGTCTAACTAGTTTGTCTTGAGCATTCCTTCTTTTCTTTCTGGCAATTTGCTTATTAGCAACCACAAGTTCCTTCCTTTTCTGTTGGAGTCCTTTTTTTTTTTTTTCTTTTCTCTTTCCTCATGGGGAGCATGGGAGGTCGAGGAGGGGATTCTTCTTCTTGTGTTGATTTTTGTTTTTGATATACAGTCAATTTTCCTTCAGGGAGGTCGTTACAACTGGTGGAGGATCGGGTGATCTGTCTAATTTGCGGTTGAGATCGTGTATTCTGATATAAACACCTGATACGTATTCACTAGCGGACATGCATTGTCCGTGCCTGTATTTTGTTCTTTGTTCCTTTAGGTCACTGTTGGGGATGGACAATCAGTAAAATGTCAATGGCCAAAGTAGCAGCATATGAAAAGCAGGCATGGATAAGAAGATAGAAAACAGGACAAGGTGGATGGATAATAAGTACAAGCAGATGGATAAGCAGTAGAAACTGGACGGACATGCAACAGAAAGGCAAAGACGGCATATACAGAAAGCACAGTTCAATCAAAAGGCATTTCCAGAGTAAACACAAAAAACATGGAGAAGCAGAGCACATAAGCATGTTCAACAAAAGCCGTCTATTAGCCAACACAAAGGACATGGATAACCAACTCAGATTTGGTGGATACGCAGTACATCAAAATGGATAAGCAGTAGAATAGGACATATATGTAACAAGAGAATGCAAACACCTTGAGGCATGAATATGAAGATCAAAAATCCACAGATAAGGAGCAAATAAAAGATGGATAAGCAACCACATACAAGGAAAATTAAAATCATCCCATAACAAACGCAAAAAGACATGGATAACCAGTTTATGTGGTGAATAAGCAGTACAGTAAAATGGATAAGCAGCAAATAAAGCATAGATAAGCAACCTCACACAAGGCCAACTAAAACTATCCCATAACAAACGACAAAAAGGCATGGATATCTAGTTCAAATCTGGTGGATAAGCAGTACAGCAAAATGGATAAGCAGTAAATAAAGGATGGATTAGAAACCACATACAAGGACAACTAAAATCATCCCATAACAAACGCACAAAGGCATGGATAATTCGTTAATATGTGGTGGATAAGCAATACAACAAAATGGATAAGAAGCAAATAAAGCATGGATAAGCAACCACATATAAGGCCAACTAAAACTATCCCATAAAAATCGAAAAAAGGCATGGATATCCAGTTCAGATCTGGTGGATAAGGAGCACAACAAAATGGATAATCAGGAAATAAAGTATGGATAAGAGACCACATAAACGGCCAACTAAAACCATCACATAACAAACGCAAAAAGGAATGAATAACTAGTTGATATGTGGTGGATAAGCAGTATAGCAAAATGGATAAGCATCAAATAAAGCATGGATAAACAACCACATAAGAGACCAACTAAAACCATCCTATATCACACTCAAAAAGGCATGGATATCTAGTTCAGTTCTGGTGGATAAGCAGTACAGCAAAATGGAAAAAGGAGAAATAAAGGATGGATAAGCAACCACATAAAATGCCAACTTACACCATCCCATAACAAACGCAAAAAGGCATGGATTTCAATAAGTTCAAGTCTGAAGGATAAGCATAAAGTAATACTAGATAATCAACAAAATATTAATAGATAGATAGCGGCGAGTAGTATACTTACTATTCAAGCATGGGTTAGAGGCAAATGTCCTGAAATCTTCACAAGGAACAAGCACAAAACTTAGCGAAGATGAAATCTTAATTGAAAAACGACGGAAAAGCTGAAATTCGAAAACGACGCAAATCAAAGAAGTTTTGATCGGAAAAAAGCAACCAATTATCTTTGTGATGTCTCGGTCGAATTTTAAAGGTATACTCTGGTTATTTTGATTGAAAAAATTAGCGATTACAAGTAATAGCTTCCAAAAATGCTCCCTCAACATAATGTTTTAGTGTTTTTACGGTGAAAATTGTCGCCGAAAATATGTTCGGCGTGAGGGTTTTTTGGTGTCGAGTGTGTGCGTGTGTAAAAGAAGAAGGCAAAAATGGAAATGAAATCGGAGTTGGTATGCATTAAATGAAGTGAGACAGATGGGGGAGCGCTTAGTGTCAACCCGTTAATTTCGTGTGTTATCAAAAATTGTTGTGCATAAATTTTGTGGGGGTGTACCGTAAACCTGAGTATACCCAAGATGGGCTCTTAATTAAAAATGAAGATTCCACCTAGTTGATTCGTGTGTATTATGTAATAATAACGAGACAAAATTTATGAAGTCACAATTATTCAAATATTCGTTAACTTGTGTTCTTATATAGTAGAGCTAATTGCAAATTTCATCAGAATACGTAGCATGCATGCACGAAATCTTTTTTATTATTGAAAAATAATGCAATTTGTGCTTAGAAAATTCAAGTTGGCATTGCCATAGAGTGAAAACCGAAAAAGCCGGCCGTCATGTATTTTGGAATGATTTACTTGCAAATCGGGGAGTATATATATTTTTGAGTAAACTGGTCAAATGGTCCTTTATATTTGACAAAAATCTTATTTTGGTCCTTTACATTAACAATTCACTGGTATAGTCCTTTAGATATGTATGTTTTACTAATTTAGTCTTTTTTTACTTTTTTTGACCCTTCACATTTGGGGGTTCTTGGGTTGACTATTTCTTTGTTAAGTCAATAGGGGTATTTTCGTTAACTTTTCATTTTCAAATTTGTAAAAATACTAAAAATACCAAAAATTATTAAACATATTATTTTAATTTTATAATTAATTATTAAAAAATACAAAATTTTAAAATTCAAAATTATTTTTTTTCCAAAATTTGAGTTATTATTTTTTATCTTGTGGGCCTCACACATGATTTCTTCTTTACCCTTAGTCTGTAATTTTTTTTCTTTAATATACCCCTTAATCCGTATTTTTTTCTTCTTGACTATACCCTTGTTGATTAAAATAATATTAAACATATTATATTATTTTTTTCTTAACCGTTAGTTCGATTTCTTCTTGAATATCGGATTGGGGAGGTTTGGGAATTAGGCAAGATGTTTGATCGGGATGAGAAGAAAAAAATTACAGGCTAACGGTAAAGAAGAAATCACGCGTGGGACCCACAGGATAAAAAATAATAACTCAGATTTTGGAAAAAAAATAATTTTGAGTTTTGAATTTTAAAATTTTTTTATTTTTAATAATTAATATAAAGTTAATACAATATGTTTAGTATTATTTTAATCATTTTTTGGTTTTTTAGTATTTTTAAAAATTTGAGAATTAAAAGTTACTAAAAATACCCCTATTGACTTGACCAAGAAATGGTCAACCCGAGAACTAAAGGGCCAAAAAAAGGAAAAAAGACTAAATTAGTGTAAAATACATATTTATAGGACCAAATGAGTGAATTGTTAATGTAAATGACCAAAATAAGTTTTTTGCCAAATGTAAAGGATCATTTGTATTCATGAATAATTTTTTTGTCCAAAATTGATAATATAATACTATATACTTCTTCCGTCTTAAAATTATTGTCTTTCATTGTTTTAGACAATGATAGGCAATATAAAAACAAACCTTTATATGAAGCGTTTTCTATACATTAAAAGATACATATTAGAGGGGCATTTTGAAGATATTTTTGTGGTTATTACAAAAAAAAAAAATAGGTTCCAAAAGAAATTTAACAAAAATAATGGGATCAAAACATAAATTCAAATCTATTTTTTAGGCTTAGATTAAAAGTCATTGGAACTTTATAAGTTGGAATTGAGAGAAATTCTTATGTACTCGAACTGCACAACCTTACATGGTGTAGCCTGACACATAAAAAGGCTAAAATTTTAATTTTATCGATTGTGATATGTTAAGAATAAGACGCCATAAAACTGAAAAATAATCTTATTGATTTGCTGAATACAAATATGAATGCACCAAGTACGTGGAATAATTTTTCTGGAATTGGAACCTCCATTAACCGGTAAGTTAATTAAAATTGGATCTTCTTTTGTAGCAAAGTGGTGATGACATGAAAAAGAAAACGATGACAAAAAAATATTTTTGTTGCCGGGCGCCCGGGCGGGGTTTAAAGGAAAACCGGTTTTTCAAATAACAGAATAAGGCGGCAAACAAAACCCTTTGGTGTCTGATATTCAATGGGCAAATGCTAATTCCATTGCGCTCAATTCTTTCTGAACTCTCCAAGACCCACCAAACCCTAGCTAAAACCCAAATTCTACATTCATTCATAACCAAGACCCATCTCTCAATCGACCCGTTTTATGCGACCAGGCTTATTAGATTTTATGCAATCAACGGTGACTTGGACTCAGCTCACCAACTGTTTGATGAAATTTCCCAATCAAGTATATTCCTCTGGAACTCCATCATACGGGCTTATGCTAGAAGCCACTTGTTTTCGGTCGCATTTGCGTTGTTTCAACGCATGCAGAGTTCAGATACGAAGCCCGACAGCTTCACTTTTGCGTGTCTTGCCCGGGCCTGCTCTGAGAAGTTCGACATCAAAGGGTTGAGGAGTTTGCACGCCAGTATGGTTGTTTCAGGCTTTGGGTTGGACTCGATATGTAGCAGTGCCCTTGTTAGTGCTTATTCGAAATTGGGTCATACTAATGAAGCGGGGACGGTGTTTTGTGGGATTCTTGAGCCAGATTTAGTGCTATGGAATTCAATGATTTCGGGCTATGGATCTGGTGGGAATCCAAGTAAAGGGCTGGAGTTGTTCAATAGGATGAGAAAGCTTGGGGAGCGTCCTGATGGCTATACTATTGTTGGCTTGGTTGTGGGTTTAACTGATCCTAACTTGGTTCCAATCGGTGAACTAATTCATGGATTTTGTTTGAAATCTGGGTTTGATTCCAACAATCATGTAAATAGCGCACTCGTGAGTATGTATTCTAGGTTTAAGTGCATGGTTTCTGCGTGTAAGCTGTTTTCCAATTTGTCTCAGCCTGATCTAGTGACTTGGTCCTCCCTGATCACGGGTTTTTCTCTGTCAGGGGAGCATGCTGTAGCCTTGGATTTTTTCAGGGATATGACCATGGAAGGCAAAAGACCTGATCATGTGTTGATAGCTAGTGCATTGGCAGGTGCAGCACAGATCGCAATTGTAAAACCTGGCATTGAGATACATGGGTATGCTATCAGACATGGAATGGAGTTTCATGTCCTAGTGTCCTCTGCTCTGATTGACATGTATGCGAAGTGCGGTTTCTTGGATTCATCTATCAAGGTTTTCAAAATTATGCCAGAAAGAAACATTATCTCTTACAACTCTATAATATCTATTCTTGGTTTATATGGACTTGCTAACGAGGCATTCCTACTGTTTGAGGAGGTCTTGCAGGACGGCCTGAAACCAGACGAAAATACTTTTGCCGCTATCCTCGGGGCATGTTGCCACAGTGGTCTAGTTGATGCTGGCAGGGAATACATGAGAAGAATGAAGGATGAATTTAGCATCTCAGCTAAGACTGAGCATTATGTTTTCCTAGTTAAGCTTCTCGGGATGGCTGGAGAATTGAAAGAGGGTTATGAACTTATCCAATCTTTAGAGGAACCAGTTGACTCAGGCATCTGGGGTGCACTTCTGTCATGCTGCAATGTTCATGGAAATCATGAAATGGCAGAGATCGTGGCTGATAATCTCTCTAAAAGCGAAAACTATAAAAGCAGCTATGAGGTTATGCTTTGTAATGCATATGCTAGTGATGGAAGGTGGGATGATGTCCAAAAGATAAGGGCAGATTCCAAGGCCCTGAAATGGAAAGTTCCTGGTATTAGCTGGATTGCTGATGTGAACTAATTGAGATGGTGATATGTGAAATTGGCTCATGATGATCTTCATAAAAGCTACATTTATTAATCACAAGAAAAGTGAAGTTTAGTTTTCTGGAGCATTAGATAGCAAAAGGCCCTTGTAATTTCCAGCATTCAATTTAGTCTATGTTACAACTTTGCAAGCTCATAAAATAGTGGGTTACATACATCATACAAAATAGAAGAAACAAGAGCAAAAGCTATACAAATCAATATTCGTCGCAATTGCATTTCACCAACTATTATCTGAAACAAAACTTGATAATCATAGATGTAGTTATATAGATACACTTCACATTTTTAAAAAATTAAATTATGGAATAAACCGTCCTAATCTTTAGGTTGAAATACAGTACAACAGATTAAACAAAGAATCACTCATCTGATACTTGAAAACCCTACAATGACTGGTAGGAGGACAATGATTTTCCCCGTTATGCACTGCACCTAACCTCCATATTTTCTCAAGGAACCACATACAACAGGGTACACTTGAAGCTTGTAGCTAGTCTCCGGAAGAGAGTTTGTTGTGAGTTTCTTCCCTATTCTTCAACATCCTCGCTTAACTGACGTCCGTTATCTGTATTCCTACTTGTACCGTGCTTTTTGTGCTTCTTGCTCTTTGCTTTCTTGGCTTTCATTCGGCGTTTTTTCTCATTAGCATCAACCCAAGCATAGTCACTGGGTATGTGGAATGGGTCAATCTCCTCCCTGAAACTTCTACTTTCACTGTCGCTTGATTGGCCACCGCGGCTGCCTCTCATCCATGATATCCATGATGACGATGTTGCTTCGGACTTTGCATCTTGGAACTGCACAGGGCTGGAAGGAGGGGTACAGAACTCTTCTGCAGGTTGAAGCTCCTCAAATTTCGTGAATGTAACAAGAACCCTAATGGTTGGTACAATAGGAATGGCGATCTGCAGTATAGTAAATCCGTAAGTCATGTACAACCAAGTAAACGAAAAACGAAGCCATATTTAAATTCTCAAGATGGTATGCCAGGAACCATGAACATACAAAAAACCATGCAAAGGTTGCAACATTTGTGAAGACCAAGTAAATACTAAGACTGAAATTGAACATGCATTTTCTTAATAAATTGGCAACCAAAACAAGTAAAAAATAACATAAAGAAATTTGGATTCTCTTTCACAATCGGCTAGAAAATGAATATTTTTAACTCAAACCAAGATCAAAATAATCTTCAAAGATGTTACAGATTTGAACCCACGATGAGACTTCCTAAAGTAAGTCATATCAACAATACTTTTGTAGTTTGATCATATAACCAAACATAAAAACTTGATGAGTATTTCAGGAGCAAATCATTTGCTAGAAACATTTTCATTCAGGAACTTCATAAGGATTATATTTTAAGGCAAAAGCAGGTGCCCTATAATTGCTATAACATATTCAATTTAAGGGTAATAGCTTCTCAACAGGCAAGTTCAAAGACACCCTGCTACGCAAAGGAAAAGTGTATAGCAACAACTATAAACCAACAGGAAAGACCATGATCTAACCCACATTCAGAATGTCAAAAGATTTCAATCAACAAAGCAAGGCCAATTTCAATATACAGCAAAAAAATAGCCCTGTGACAGGCAAAATCAAAGAAACTTCCATGTGCAACTTAACATCAACTACATCAATGCTAAGTTGAAAAAACCAAGAATTGACTGCATTTCTTTTCAAAAACACATAGCTACTAATAAATAGGCAAGCATGCCATGCACAAACCATGTCCAGTATTAAGAATGTTGAAATAAGAATGGCTCAATAAAGCTGTATGAATGAATATGGAACCTCATGATAAACTAAAAGTTCAAATTATAAAAAAGATTGTTTGAGGAATCTATAGGTGCCTTCTCCCCCATGCAGGAGCAAAGGAGAAGAAATTAACAAGAATTTAGATGTTAATTTTCACACAACAAAAGGTAGGAGTAAAGAGGACACATGCAAATAAACTGAAATAAATATAATGGAAAAGATCCTAATATAGATAATATTAAAAAAAATCAAAATCAACTGCAGAAGCAGAGTTGAACCAGGTAGGGAAATGAAGGAAAAAAGGCAAAAATATATATATATATATATTTACAACCTTTAAAATAGAGAACGAAGGACAGTGAACCAAACAACAGAATGATATATAGAATCCAGAATAAACATTCTAACCATACCTTAGCAGGGAATGTGCCATTGGGTAGTTTAGTAGTCAATAACTCCCTTAATCTTCTAACTGCTTTCACCTTGTTGGCTAATATATCCAATAGAGGTAAGAGCTCTTCAGTCTTCAACGGGAAATCCGGCGTTAACCATAAAACAGGTCTTAATCCTTTTTTATATTCACTCTCATTCTTAGACTCACCAGCAGTACCTTTCTTCTTTTTCTTTTTGTTGCTTTTATCTTTTCCCTTCTTAAGCTCACCAGAATCCTCCTGCAGGAATTCAGATGTTAATCTACGACTATCTGTGTGCCTAGACTTGCTATCTTCAGGAGCCAACTTCGAAGACTTCTTGACAATCTTTGAATCCTCCTGGTCGTCACCTGTATTCTTTGAGGCTTTCTTATTCCAGCCAAACCAGCTCTTCTTTTCTTTGGTTACACCATTTGGATCACAATTTTCAAAACCACTATCACTGATTTCATTGCAATCCTGAAGTTCGGGTTCCTCGTCCTCCCCATGACCCTCTGCATTTCCCATGCGAAGTGCTGAATCTAGCTGCTTTCTTTCCTCAGCGGTCAACACATCATCATACTCGTCCTGTTCAACGCCATTACCTATCCTATCATCATCATTCACCGAGAAAAGCTCCTCATCAGTCATAGCTCCAGGAACTCGTCTTGACTTGACACTGACCATCACATGAAGCATGTCATAGACCTTGGTCTTCCATGGGCCAACCATTTCAGTCCTTTCCTGGCGCCTCCAGTTCAAATGAGGAACAAGCTCAGCTTGAGTAACATCAATTCCGGGCCTATACATGTTTGTTTGGGACATCAACGCTACCTCATGTGCAACCTCAGCTTCAGTCGGCTGGACACCAGCTCCCTCCAAAGCATTTGTGATCTCCTTCTCTTTATGGGCAAGTACAATTAGAGAACCCGGAGCCAATGACATCTTGCCATCTTCCGAAGAATATCCATCTCCAAGAAATAGAAAAGTCTGATCAGAGCGTTGGATGCGAAAGCCATCAAAGCCAGCCAGGGTCATATCAGCACGAAGATTTGCACCCCGTTTCCAAATTCTGTATGTGTCTGAAGGAGCAATTCTGCCAATAAAGGGTATCACAGAGCTCTCAAAATGAAAGGTTATCTCCATGTAAAAATCCCTTATCCTGGAAGCTGAAGCCACGATCCTCGGAAGCCTACGGCACCATTTTGCCCATGCAAGGGGCTGATAATGTCTGGCAATGATCATTGCAATATTTTCTTCTCTAGTGCAAACAGCCTCCTGGAGAGCACTCCACCCGTTCTCATTCTGAAGACTCCAATCTGCACCAGCAGACATCAAAATCTCAGCCGAGGTCGGGTCTCGGAGCCTTACTGCAAGGTGCAAAGGGGTCTCGCGACCGGGGACATCCCTCCTATCAATAACTGCAGACACTTGATCGGCATTAGTTTCAGCAGCCAAAGACTCCGCTTCAGTATTCACCTCCCCTGCCTTGGCTAAACGCGGAAGGCCTGCCACAATCTTCCTGAGCCCAGCATAATCTCTCTTGGCCACTGCCAAATGCGCAGGGCTATGCACATATTTAGACCAATCTTCCATTCCTTCCTTCAGACTTGCACTCCAAACCCCTTAAAATCCTTTCAAAATTCTTCGTGTAAACTAAAACTCTTCCATGCTTCTCAAAAAATGAAGCCAAGAGAACAACTAGAAGACAAACTTAGGATTCCAGCTCAATGAGGTAATGGAAATTATGGCCTTCAATTCAAGCATCTCCTAAACGGACCCAATTCCGGATTCACCCTCAACCACAATAACTCTACTCCTCCAACCTTGCAATTTAAGAAAATGAAAATCTATAGCTGTATGAAGCCCCCTGATCTTAACTTCACTCCCAAATTAGTTCAAATCTAAGAACCTAGTAAATGAAACGAAAATATACTGTCAAAAAAATCTAAAAAGGCAAAAAAAAAAGAAGAAGCTAATCAGCTTCGCATGTCGATCTAAAGGACTAAATTCATCAAATACAAATCCCTAAACAACTTCACATCCGAAAAAGCAACACCCAGGAAAAAAAAATCTCTAAAAACTTCACACCACGCGCAAATTATCAACCCATTAAACAAAGACAAAATGAGGTAGGTAGTACTACATTAAAAAAAAAAAATTGAAAAAAAAAAAAAACAAAAATTTTACCTGAAGAAAGACGAAGAGGAGATGAATTTGTTGGTTTCGTTCTTGTGGGTCGTGGAAGATGTAAAGTTTAGCAGAAATTGGGAGTGGGAGACTCGAGATCGATCTCTCTCTTCCTTCACTCTTCTCTCTCTCTCTTCCTTTTCCGGGTCTGATGTTTTTAACTTTTTATATCCCTTATAGCTTTCTCTCTCTACAGCGCGGAGGGAAGGGAAGGGAGGAAGAAAGGAAAGGGAGTTTAGTTGTTATTACTGTTGGACTTAAATTTAATTTCTGTATCTTTCTTTTTCTTTTTCTGTTTTTGGTTCCTTTTCAGTTATTCTTTCGAGCTAATTGCATATAACCCTAACAAGTTTCCTCCTTTTCTTAAATAAACCCCTACAAGATTTGATTATATCACTTCGTAATCTGGATTTTTCAATTTTTAATATTTATTATATGCGTATTACTTTTGTGTAGCATGTCTTCTATGTTGTTGACATGCATTCTATTATATTATAATGATCCCAATGTTTGTTTTTTTCACATAGTGTACCTCTTTCAATAAGTTTGAGAAAGGTACAAAATTAAATCGAATTTTTATAAAAGAAATCTTGTTCTCTCACTCATCTTGCCTGTTTTATTATTTATTTTGAATAGTGAAAGACATTAATTATAATTTTTTTATATGTTATTAAGGAGTTTTAGAAAATTAAGAAAATAGGTGTTAGTGTTGTGGCAACTAAATGAAATCCATGACTAAACTTATTATTAGTAAATATAGATTTTACTATTCTGTCTGTCCTAAAACCATTATCCAGTTTGAATTTTCAATCTTTGCACAATTTAAACTAGAAATAAAAATTTAAACTGAATAATTATTTTAGAACAAAAAGTTCCAAATGCTAAAATTTGTGATTTGTGAATCACGTGTTTATGTTTGTGTTAATAAGCTAAATCCGAAACATCATTTAATTTTGTTATTTCAATTATTAACTTGGCAATAAATGAATATATAGTCAGAAAAAAAATTTGACAACTCTGAAAAAATTTGTTAATTATCATGGAAAAAAAAAGAATCGAGAAAAAGAGAGGAAAAAAAATGAACATAAGGATACAATTCAATGGTAATTTTAGACTTCGAAATAATAATGGTCAATAAAGGTTAATTGTGGTCATGAGAATAATACTGCATTTACTGCTGGAAACATAGGAGCAACATATTATGCACCCTTTGAAACCATGAGGGGTATATCTTTACAAGGTGAGAAGATTCGAGGACTTACATTAAATTAACTATTTGAATCTTTTCAATTTCACCCCTTTCAGTTTTAGAAATGGCTTCTGTCCGGGCTTGAGTGGGCTGAAGAAATGCAGGTTCCTACGAGAGGAAATGATCCTTTGTTTTTTGGGTAAATTGCCAAAAGGTACCACACGATATCATAGAAGAAAGGGAAAGAGGCAGGAAGTAAAGGTTTGATTGGACGGTTTGGGAAGCAGATGATGGTTGATATGGTCACGGTCCAGGACTCTTGGTTTCGGCTGGTATGAGCCGTCAACTTAATTACGGTTCTTTATAGAATAAGTGAATCTCAATTGGTTGTTAACTTTACGGTTTTGGTTTATAAACTCTCGATTTAAGTTTGATTCTGGATCCAGTTCATTGATGGCTTTGTTCGATTTGTTTGTCATTTAATGCTTTCCAAATGAAACATAAGAAAAATGATTGAGTTACCAGGATAAACTTAAGTAATTAAATACGAAAAATGAATTTTAAAAAGTGAGATTTTATGATAATCTGTCTTTTTATCGTTTAAAATAAGATTTTTTTAATTTATTTTTGATAGGAATTTAATCTGGCTTTTAAGAAGTTACCCAAATCAACGAATCGTCTTTGCAAATGTCATCCAATAAAAAGAAAGTGGTTTACATGCACAGATGATACAAATATAATTAAAAAATAAATAATTTTAAAAATCTAAAGTGAAATAACGATTATAAGTTCTTAAATCTTTTTCAAAGTCCCAACTTTACATTTGTCTATAACTTTTTAATCAAAACTTGCAATCTTTGTGACGGTTCATAATCCTTGTTGTATAATTTTGAAAAGTTTAAACCGTATCCATAATTAACTAAACGGTCTGATTACGGTATTTAAACCTTCTACCACAATTATCAGTTTTCTATCCATGAACCAACCACTTGGACTTCGGGTTAAAATCAGAACAGTGACCATGCCAAGATGATGGTGACCCCAGCGTGGCATACTGTAGTCTTGTGATAGGCCCAGCATTAAGGACCCATTTGCCACTCTGTCCTATCTGACATGACATCCTTTTCTCCCTTTTCTTTTTCCCCCATCTTTTCATTTTCTCGTTTTTTATTTATTCCTCTTTCGGCAAATGTTCAAAAAATCCTTTTGGATATTGGTTCCTAGAGTAACATCTTCCGAGTTAATTTTTGATCAATTATTAATGAGAAGTCTCATTACGTCGTGCGAAGTTTTCTCTATCAGTAGTAATTTTTTTCTCATAAATCCGTACATAATTAAATATTTCTTGATGAGTTTAAAATCTTGAACTTAATTGATCAAAAATTAAATTGAACATTGTGATTGGCCCATTAGTTCACATGGCATCATCAATTTTAAATTGAGTCATTTCATTGGTTAATATATTAACATGACATCAATAATTTAAAATAAGGATACAATGGTCAATTAATAAAGTTATTTTTTTTTTACCAACCAAATATGTCATTAGCCGAGAGAAATACCCTAATTAATGTGGCGGGTTAAACAACGATGTTTACTATCTGATGTTACCAATTAAAATATCGTTTTTTTGTGTCGATGTTTACTGCCAATTTTTTCGGCCGCTCTCCATCCCTTCCTTTCCCAAAAATCTTTCTCGTCCTAAATGTCAATCTAATCTTCTATTACTTCTATTTTTTCATCTCTTCAAAATCCAATTATCTTCTTGGGTTCGAAATCCAATTGTTATGTAATGGTGGCGACGATCAAGCTCTCGAAAGGAAGAAGAATTGATCATGATTCTTTTTTTGGGTTCCTGATAATGGTGATGATGTAGATTCGGCGTCCAACAAACAAATGGTGATTATAATTTGGCTGGGGCTTCCGATGGTGGCAATGTAAGCAATTCGCCGTTTAGGAAACACTTGGCGGTGCTGATGAATCGTGTTTTCGATGTCACATAATAATTATTATAAAATTTCATTAAGTCATATGACAACGTGACTATTTAAAGTGAATTTATATTGACATGACTCAAACTTACGCGACAAAAGCAAATCTAGTTTATATAAATGTGTCTGTACTAATTCTATCTTTCTTTCCGCAAATCCTCCCTTAGTTTAGTTTCGTTATTGATTTACCAATGCGTGATTTTTGGATCAGAAAGAAAGAACAAAGAAAAAGATTTCTATCTTCACCTTATCCATTCTCTCTTATCACTAATTCTTCTTTCACCAGATTAATCATTTCCTACACTTCTATTAATATCAATGAACCAGCACATGAGTTTTGCGCTTACCTTGGAATAAAAATCAACCTTTATTCCAAAAAAAATAAATAAATAAATAAAAGTAAAAATATACCAGCACATAAATCTGATTTTATATATACTAGTGATGTCTGGTCGCGCATTTGCGCGACCCTGGCCCAATATATCTGTATATCTTAGAAATGTTTGTATCTGAAAAAAATATTTTATATTTGGCCCGATATATTTTATAAATATTTGAAGAACTTTAGAAATGTTTTATAAGTGTGATGTTTGTATTTGGCAAAAAAATAAATTGTATTTGGCCCGTACGTTTTAGACATGTTTGAAGATTTTAGAAATATTTTATAAGTGTTACTTCTTAAATATAAATAAACTTGATCAAATATATGTCTTGAAGTAAATGCTAGACAAAATATAAAGCATCCTAATAAGTTTAAATATTAGTAAGATAATTTATTGATTTTCTCCATTGGTTGTGCCAAATCAATACTTAGTTTTGGAGATTTATAATAGCTTTGTAGTTAGCTTCCTCCAAAGGGTATACGCTTAATTGTTGGAACTATTTCTTCCAAAAGTTTATAGGTAGTAAAATATCAAAAATACGATTTTGAAACCGGTTAATTGTTGAAACTGGTTGATCACAAATATGAGAATGAAAATAATATAAATTTGCACAGGTTTCAAGATATAGCAAAAAAGAACTCACCTCAAAATGGCAAATAAAGACAAAAAAAAAAGTAAAAGATAGCCTATTAAAATTTGAGAATTTTTATTTTTTTCTGTAGGTAAAACTGATGTATAAAAACACAAATAAACGTAGAAACATCATTCCTTCCCTCTCCACCTCAAATTCATAAAATGATTCCCCATAAATTAGTTAAAAGAAGCGACCTGAACTATTTATATGATGAGGAACTAAAAAAAGTTCAAAAACCAAATCCAAAAAATTATATTCTTGAAACCCCAAACACAAAAAAAGAAACGTGCTTCATTTGCAAATAAATTAATAAAAATAATAATAATAATTGGTCAACTGGGAATATGAAACAAAATCAAAAGCAATTAAACAAAGAAAAAACACACTTCATAATTGGCCATATACGAAAAAAAAACTTGAGACTCCATAATTAAAAAAAGAAAACCACTCTAATTGAATGAAGCATAAAAAACAAATTTAAAAAACCACACTTTGTAACAAAAACCCAATCAATCAATTCAATCCAAACATAACTAAAATCATACAAAAATTCTAGGCTAACTAACCAAATAAGAAATCACATCATACTACCTGACAACGGCTACGGTAGCTGTAACGAATGGACGCATAAAAATAATAGTAATCACACTATCCTTGAACGGAAAAAACATAAAATAATAAAAGCCAAACCAATGATCTGTGGAAATAAAATCATTTAAATTTTAATACCCGTAATGACACCACCACAACGGCCGAAGCAAGATCAATGAGAATTTTTTTTTTTCCTTTGTGTTTATATAGAGAGGTAAAGAGAATATTTTTTGAAGTTCAAATTTTATCCAATTAAGATGTAGTTGATCATCACTAGTGAAAAGATTGAACATGCTAATAGGAAAGGAGTATATTTCACCATATATTCTCAATTGATGATTGATGAGGAATTTTTTTTTTTTTTAATTGTGAAGAAGGGATTGATTAAGGAGTCGATTGTCGTGGAGATGGGGATGAGGATTTGGGTTTTTTATGAACCCGTGGTTTTTTTTTTTTTGACGAATATAAGAGGTGGAAGTGAATTTAGACTGCATTTGCCTTTTAAATTTAGGAGATATGATAGTAAAAATTTATTTTAAAAATATGATGTGGAAATGCCACATGGCAAATGATGGTGCTTTCTCTTAAGTGTGGTTTTTGTTTCTAATATAGTAAGATATGATCTGATGATTTTTGAGACAGTACCGAAACAAGTTGAAGCACAGGCTTTTGCTTAGCGTTTTGAGGAGATATGAATAGATTTGTAGTTTGTATTCATACAATGCAAATAAAAAACTACATACTAAAAAAACCGAATGTGGCGATATATGCAGAAATGTGGTATGAGTTGCAACAGATTAAAAGAACTCTTTTGGTTCCTTTATTGACAGCAACAAGGGATCCACTAGGCTTGCCCATTTTGGCTTGCCATTCAGCTAACAAGGGATCCACTTCTCAACAACCATATTTGTTTGTGCCTTTCAAAGCTGAATTTGTTTGTTTGATGCGAAAAAAGTGTAGATACACATGCATTGCTTCCAAGGCTAACTAGTGCCAATGGTCCCAAACTCCTAAATCCCAACCTCAACCTCATCTGGTTTGGCCATCCTTGATCCATCCAAAGATCATATCGAAAACTGAAAGCATGACCGCAACCAAGTAAATTGGTCAAGTAGCGAATGCAACTAAAGGTCTTATAGGCATAAAATTACAACAACAAAGAAACATAAAACTACTTCAGTAACTTGTATCTACAGTTTTCCCAAATTTCACAGGTCTTTGAACGTTTTTGTTGTTTTTTTGACGTGGTAGGTGGTCACCTAGAACGAAGGACAGCTATGCTTTCCTTGCAAATATTTCGCAGGTGAGTATATTATCAACACATCTTGCAGACCTCCCGGAACCCAAGACTGGAATGATATTGAATATTTGATCGTTGGTAGTCCTCCGTGTGGTGTTTAGTTCAGCAAATTCGCTGAACACTCTATTGTAAATTAGCGACAATGTTGTGTGGGAAATGTTCACATCTGCTCTGACATAAATCCGAAAGCTCTGCACGATGCAAAAAGAAATAAAGAACGAAATTAACTGGAATGCCAGTAAAGCATAACATTATTCAAACTAACACTCTAAATTCGGGGAAAATTACTATTGAGACTTCTTAGTGCAAGCTAGCTTACCTTAACATCGTCCCAGGAGAAGTAAGCTTCCAAAAGAACACTATCAAGAACATAAATGCAAAATTTTGCAATTCCATCCATCAGGTCCTCGGTAATGCTTTTGTCTGTCAGGTCCAAGTGCGGCAACGTGGAACAAATCTTTACAGCTTGAGTTTGTGAGACAGATAGAATAGCAGTACATAATCTTCCAGGAATAACACATTTCTGTACGCACTCACTATGCCAACTTTCATGCTTAAAACCCCAACTACTTTGTGAACTTACAATAGTTACAACAACCTGGTCAGTTGAGGTTTCAACATCACCTGGCACATAGAGAATGGGCTTTACTTCTACTAGAGCCCTGCAAAGAAGAAAAGATATTTCCCAAGTTAAGAACACAATGCATACAAACACAAGCAGATGTCAAAAGATTCATGACTAAGGCTCACGAGAAATGAAAGGTGACAGTAAATTTAAATTTTAATCCTTCTCCACAGTTTTCTGGTTGAATTCAAATAGATAGACACATACCAATATTCAAACGAAACAACACACCACCAGATATTGGAACACATATTAACTTATCAGAGACGTATACAAGTCACATATTAAAAACGAGAGACAGAACCCACCTTTTTGGCAGATCAGGAACAAGAATGTACAAAAATAATGGATCAACCACTAGAGATGAGCTTTTAGTATCCGAACCATTTATTTTCATCTCCTCAAGGAAGATCTTTGCCCTCTCCTCAACAGAAATTAGGTCGGACGTAACCAATGTTTCTGAGCAGTACATCACAAAGAGAAGGGTAGATGTAGATATTGAACAGTTAAAACAATCTGCTACAGCTTGACTATTTTTCAAGGCCTGCTCAAGCTCAGATGTAGCACCTCCGGTACAAAGCGACATTGTAGGTGGGTCAAGACCCAATTGACCTGCCATATAGAGTATACCCTTGTGCAATGTTGCCTGTGTAAGGAAAAAACAAACTTATTAGTTGATGTTATCAACTAAAACTAACACATTCAACCACACACACACACACACACACACACACACACACACACACACACACACACACACACTAGCATCTCTAGCAAAAGTGGCTGACTCAATACACAACCTGACTGTATGGACCAATGCAGCTAGGAGCCCAGCCAGATATACTCTGAACATGGAGGACTGTTTTCATGGTGTCAGCTGCCACCAACACCTCCATATAGGCCAATCCTAAACCAATCTTAGAAAGAGGAAGCTCAACTGTAGAGCGTGATGGTACACCGAAACGACACTTATTCTGGGTGATGAATCTAACGTATGTTTCGTTTGCCTCAGAAAATTTATTCATGTCTGCTATATAGAGATGTATATAGAGTAGATTCTCCCAGGAGTAACCACATTCAGTAAGTTCCAATTCAATTTTTGTTAAAACAAGCTCCAAGTCAGTTTGCAACCCTGTCAAGCAAAAAACTTAGAATGAAGAAAAGAATGGAGAAAAACTACAGGGAACATATCAATGGAGGTAAACTATTGGGAACATATCATCCCCTTTCGCTGTAATCTTATTTATTACCTGTTGAAGCACCAGATAAGTTCTGTAACCAGCACGAGAGGGACAAGGTATTATCCTTTTTGGTTTTTGAAATCTCGATTTTCTGATTATCAGCTTTGACTAATATTGAGGAACCATCGGAAAGCATACTCATAGTTTCACAACTTTGTGGACAGTTCCCTCCTAGAACTTCGTATACTAAATCAGATACCTCCAGACTGATGCCATTCTCCATCTTTTGCTCCAAGTGGAATTTTGAAGGATGGAGGATTCCAACAGGAGATATGGGATTTGTGGAATGTAAGACAACTTGATATTCATCTAGCACAACGCGAGCATTCTAAAAAAAACTCGATGTCAATCTCAAATTACAATTTCTCTGAGGAATAGAAAGCAATCAGTTAACTTTATTCAGGGAGGAAAAACTATACCATTTCTTCAGAGACAGATAATGACAAAAAATTGATAATTCATTAGATGAGTTACCGTACTTTTACTGCCTTCTTTACAAAGAAAGGATGTAAAACCAGAGGCTACCAGCAAAAATCGTTTCAACAGTAGAAAACAAACTCACTTTAAAGAGGGGACAGTCAAGAGTTAATGTTTCGTATTCTCCTCCTTCACCACAAATATTGACTCCATACAGCCTGCCAGAGTTTTGGGAGAAGCATAACTTGTTAAATCTTTATGGCTTAGCATAATCACAGGAAATCTTTCTTGGTTAACCTCAGAAGTCATACTCATTTAGCTTGTGAAGATGGTGTTCCAAGCTTGACAACTCTTTACCCAAGTGCTTTTCTGGATCCAATCCCATGACTGCAACCTGAAACATCAAAAAGATTTATTCTTATTATACAGGGTTGAAAGTCAGAGCATCGCTCCAGAAATACTTTAATAAGACATGAGCAACACAATAATCATAAGCACATTTTCCCCCATTTGTAATGAGCATATTAAACAAAATACCTAACTTCTTTAATTCCTTTTAAAAAAATGATAATTAGAACAAAAAGTGCAGGGATTTCAGAGCAGCCATATATAAATTAGTAGAGCTTGAACCTTTAGAGGACCCATGAGTATAAACAGATTCACCTTTATCCGCCAACAACAATTGGTTTCAATCTAATTTTGCAAACAATTAGCAAGTAATATTACAAGAAGTAGCAGAAATCTTTTGAGAGAAAAGTATAACCCTTTAAGAGTTAACTCAATATCAAACCCCATATCAAAGAAATGTTAATTCATCATTAATGAAACTAGACATGCACATACATACGCAAGACACTGTCAGAGAAAGACAAGTTAACAAAGAAAGTATCAAAAGCAAGAAAGATGATAAGCATCAATGGAGAATACATAGACCACAAATTGGTGTATCTAATTTACCTTCACTGTGATGGCCATGATTCCATTTTTAATCTGGTAACATATGAAGTAAACAGCAATTAGCAATTGTTTAATTACCAAAAGGTCAGTTATTCAGATTGACAGATTACATTACCATCTCTTGAAGGAGTAATGATTGATTTAGCTTCCATAAATACGCCAATGAAACAAGTCCTAGCCTTGAACACACACTTTCAACCCGCAGTCTTTGATAATCAGATGCAATTGCGCCAGAAGACACAGCCGTAACTGATGGTATCTTGCGTTTCACTTCGCTTAACAAGATAAACAAATCTTCAACCTCATCCCCTGGAGTAATACTATAGCTTAGACCATGGTGCCTGAAATCAAAACAACCGTACCCCCCAAAGGAAGAAAACCCCCAACAAATCAATATGCCTAAATATTTCAAAATCAGAATTTTCCATATAGACCGAATATGATAAATCTTTGAACTGCAAAAAAGAGACCGAAAAAAAAAAAAAACTCCGGACTAAATGTTTACTCAAAGTGGTGCACTCCTGTGACCCATAAACATAAATGCAACAAGTTTTGCATTTTCATATTTGTTAGATTACAACAGGCCTGGATACAAGATATATGTGAAAATATGCTCAACGAACTTGCCTTGTTGATCCTTGAATTCGCCTTCTAAACAAAGGTAATCCCATGCATTTTGCGTAGCTAACCACTATCTGGTGTCCAACCTGAGTTTTTAAACCACAAAATCAGCACAGCGGTTAACAAAAGAAGAAGAACAAAGACTGTCAAAGAAATGCTAAATTATGAAATCCCGTTTTCAGCAGTTTTCCCTTTAAAGGGTAGTTCGACGAATAGAAAGGAAAAAAACATATAACAAATCCAAAAGTAAAAGATTCGAGTCAAATCATGGATCAATCTGTGGAGAAAATTTTAAATACAAAGCTGATGAGTGAATTGTTCATTACTGCATCATAATTCATACCCAAAATCTACATAAACTTTCCCCCATCAAACTATGCACCGTATGGACCATTGGTTTATTCTACTCCACTTGATTTCAACTTCTAATAGTTTGAACAATCATTTTAATACCATGTAGCGTATCTAGTTCCATGATCAAACTCTTACAGTTCATCCAAAACACCATTAAAAACAGAATAAATAAAACATGGACCCAAGCCAATCGTGACCCTCCTCAGAACCAACATTTTTAATTCCTTTCAACAATCTCTAAGGAAGAAAGCCAACTTTCAAAAACCCAAAGCATACATAAGCATCTTTAGCAAGCAGAATAAAAAAAAAATGAAGATAAAAGCTCAATCCTATAACGACATCTCACAGTTTGATACATGTAGCTATTGAGCTCGTCCAGTGCATCATCAGCCGGCAAGAGATTCGCTAATGCAACAATCTGAAACCCAAAGTTTCAAGGGACATAAGTTTCAGGTACAAAGCAAAGCGTTGAAGAAACAGCAAGTCAGCAAGTAGGAGAAGAGATTAGGAACAATTCGAAGAAGCTGAAAGCAGACCTCATGACCGTATTGGAGACATTTCATCATGGCGTAGCAGCTATCCTTGCCGCCGCTGACTAGAGCCACCACCTTCATGCCGCCGGCGCCGGAGATGGTTTAAATGTTTAGGGTTCTCCGTTCGCTTTGACTTGAGAGATTGAAACAGACCAAACTAATAAGTCAAAATATGCTCAAACTTTGGCTTCCCGTCGTGCTCTTCCTGCTTCAGCGCACCGGGGAAAACTGCGGCGGATTTGGCGACGAAATAAATTTACTTGAATTATTTGTTATTCAGGTTAGCCCAGTTACATAGGACGCTAATCGGCCCAACCCAATAATAGAATGGGATACACATTAGTCCTTTAACCGTAATTTGGATTTACACTTGATAAAACAATTTTGTTTAAAAAAAAAAAAAAACACCAAAGTGGTTGTGGTGGAGTGGAAGGGACTTCTCCACCCTCAACCATAGGTCGAGAGTTTGAACCTCGCTATGGGCATAGAGCAATCTGTCTCACCTATTGAGGTTGTCTACAATTCAACGAGAGGGATTAGTCACTCTTGTCGAAAAAAATAATAATAAAAAAAAATAAAAATTAAAAAAAGAAAGAAAAAGATAAAATGAAAAAAATTATTTTTATTTAAAAATGATCTCTTTGATGTTTTACTATCAAGTTTTAATGTTAAAAAAGGATTTTTTCAAAAAAAAATTTTCATTTTTAAACATTATACTAATTCAACATTTTAAAATTTTCCTCTGAACATTTTACAAGTTTCCGAAACAAAAAAAAATATATATACGGGAAGCTCAATTCTTTGGTTAACTGTATAGGAACTTCATTTGTTTAATTCCTTGGTCCAGTTAGTTTTTAACTAATAAATTACAGATTATATGAAAATAGTGTAGTATTTGTGATTTAGTGATCTGATGTTGGAGCAAATATACAATCATCCACAAACGTACCAAAAAAAAACTAATAATAATACTCCCTCCGCCCCATAATTATTGTCCAGTTTGAGTTTTCATTTCTAGTTCAAATTGTACTAAAAGTAAAATCTCAAACTGGACAATAATTATGGGATAGAGGGAGTAATAATTAAATAAAACCTTCTTAAACTGGTTTTTTTTTTATGCATAAGATTGTAATTATGAGATGAGTAAATTTTATGTGTGTGTGTTATGTGTGTGTGTGTGTTTGTTACAGTTGTTACATTGAAAATTTCTGCCCTAAATTCACAACACATAAGAAAAGTTTCAACTTTCACCTAATGTGGATATCATTTTGAAGAAAATCACTAGGCAAGAAAAAATAACACATAGCGATCAATTCTGAAACTAGTTACCGGAGTATTTTGAACGACTAGCGCAATCCACTTTTATCTATGGCAGATCTCTCCTGCACATCTTGAAGCTCTCTTTGTTCACTGATTAACCATTAACCTCAGCGCTATTTCCTCAGTATCAAGCTTTTGATTTCTGATTTTTCTTTTTTTTTTTTTTTGAAATCCGAACGCTCTTTCTGCATGCAAGAAATGAAGAAGGCAAAACTGCACAAACCTCTGCATCCTCGTGAATTTTTCTAAAACATTCCCGTTTGTTTCTGACTTTCAGTTCTTTGCAAACCAAAATCTCCATTTTCTTGACTAGCTCACATCCAAATTGATACTTTCAACCAACCCAATTTACCTCTGTGAGAAACTAAAGTCATCAGGAGTGAATTCAGGACTGCAGTTCTTCATGATGTCTAAAAAGCTGAAGACGGGGGACTTTCAATCTAGTTTCTCGAGCCAAAGATTTGTTGTTAATGCTGGATACTGATGTCGCTTCTTCCCATTCAACTCCACAAATCACAATGACAGAACCGGAAATCAGCATATAAATAAGTTCTTCCCCAAACTTCTCAATAACATGCTGCAATGGATATTTACTTTCCTACCAGCGCCAACAACAGAAGGTGCATTTGTGTTGGATGAAAACTATACCGCCAGGTATCAGTCTTCTGTTTCTTTCAGAACTCAAGGCTTCGGTGTCCTTCAGAGTCATATCATCATCCGATGAAGCTGAAATCAAGTAACTTCTCAATTACAGTTTAGACAAGACTTGAAAAATAAGAAATTTATTCCATTAATAAGGAAAGATTGTGAATTCAAAAAGATCACTTGAATACATATGAAAAATGTATACTTAGAAGTCACACCCGAAAATACAATAGACCAAAACTATACAATAAGATTGTGATACTGAGATGAGGAATTTTTTTTTTTTGGTCCCATTCAAACTTTCCAGCCCTAAATTCAAAACAAAGTACAAAAGTTTCAGATTTTGTCTACCATTTCTAAGAAAATCGATAGGCAAGTAAAAAAAGAACACATAGCAACCAATCCAGAAATGATGATTTTGAACTGCAATTCACTAAAAGAGTATCTTTATTTACACTAAATGATACAAGATATTATAAGATCAAACCTTTTGAAGGCCTTAACTCTTACATCTGTTACTTGGATGAATGTTCATGAATCTGTGATGAATCGTCTCATCAAAGGAAACTTCAAATTACTGAAAAATACACTTCATTGTAGAATACTGATCTCCAAGGCAGGAATTTATCTGCAGAAAAGAACACCCAAGAAATCGCTGCAAAAATGTGACAAAGAATGTTAAGGAAGCAGTCTCTCGCCCTCCACAAGAAATATCTCCGCTGGCTGATCAAGGACCTGGCAGTATTTCACATAGAATGAAGTTGCTGGGCATTCAAAAACTAGCCCGTCCTTTTCACCTTCTATAGTATGATCTACACTAGGCCATCTTCAACGCAAGTTTTAGCTCGCAATAAGATGCTGTGGTTCTTTGTTCTGTTTCTAACAGATGCAATCAATGTCATCAAGCAAATATAAAATCCCTGAAATTGGATGCATTCTAAGTTGCAGCAGAGAATAGCATTTTTGGTAGCAGCAAAGAATACCTTACCACAAAGCACCTCCTTCTGAACATATATCTGTCTTTGGCAGGTCCACTGTACAAGGATCAGCATGGAGAGCTTCATCCAGAAGCCTCATGCTAAAGGATAACTCAAAAGGTAATGATGGTTTTACCAATGAGAAACAAAGATGCTGCACAACTTTTCTATTTCATCTTACCCCTCCTCTAAGTTGCTCCTTCGTGAAAATAATCACGTAGGTTTGCTTCATCCAGCATCTCCTGGATCAATAATCTCAACAATGAATAAGCAGCATCTTTACCACAGTAATGTACTAATGGTTTAGCCCCAAAAGCGAGAGTGCTTCTCCCTACTCTAATCCAACTACAATCAACCAAATCACCTTTTTGTTTCATTAACCTTCTTATCCTGACAAGACTTTCCCATCTGCCTCTATTCACATATACTTCCGACAAAACTGAATATGACAGAGATGACTCTATCCTTAGCTCAACCATTTTTTCAGCAACTTGTTCAACCAGTTTCTTGTCTCCATAAGTTCTACAAGCACACATGATTGATTCCCACATCATAGCATTGGGAGAATGAGGCATAGCTTTGAGGAAAGATAATGCTTCTTCAAGTTTTCCGGCTCGAATTATCATATCAAAAACAACTGCATAATGTTCCTCAGTTGGTGCAACTCCATAATCCTTTTCCATTGAACAAAATATAGCCATTCCTTCCTCGAGAAATATGCCATAACAGCAAGCTAATAAAACACCAGAAAATGTTATTTTATCTGGTTTTAGTCCATTCCCTATTAATTCTTTGAAAAGAGCAATAGATTTATGAACTTCTCCATTATGCGACAGCCCCATTATCATGGTGTTCCAAGCTATTAGATCTTTCACAACCATATTGGCAAAGATTTCATAGGCATAATCAACTAATCCAAATTTAAGGTACATATTAACAGCTGAATTCGCAACCATAAATTCTGACCCAAAACCAGACTTCAAAACCAAACAAAGCACTTGACTCCCCTGCTCCAAAGATAAGAAGTGTGAAATACAACTGAGAACAGTGCTAAGGGTAACCTCTGTTGGCCTGATATTTTCCCTTAAGGCAATGACAAACAGCTCAACAGCTTCCTCTTCTAAACCGTACCGTGCATATGCTGAAATCAAGGAATCCCAAAGTGCTGAATCCTTGACAATGGATTCCTTAAAGATGCGCATTGAATCTTCTATTCTGTTGCATTTAGATAAATAGTCAATGGCAGCACTTGAAACAATAGAATTGGATAAAACCCCCATCTTCATGCAAAGACAGAGAATTTGCTTACCCTCTTCCAAATTTTGCAAGTTTGAACAAGCTGAAAGTGTTGTTGACATGGTAAACTCATCAGGGGTCGCTCCACAGAATCTCATGAAACAGAACAGTTGCAATGCCAATTCATTCACACCAGCATTACAACACCCCGAAATCAACGAGTTCCATGATATGATATCCACTTCCTCCATACACCAAAATACACCAACCACGTATTCCACTAGTCCAATCTTCCCATACACATCAATCAAAGAATTCCAGGCCACCACATCCTTAAAATTGACACCATTTCTTATCATGCTGCAATGAATTTCCTTGCCAATCGAAGCACACTCAGAACCAGAGACTAAAATCGAAAAAGTAAACCCAGTAGGCCTAACACCATTTTGCTGCATTCGTACAAACAACTCCAATGCCTCCTCCAGAAACCCACATGACACATAAGCTGAAATCATTGTATTCCAACTAACGACATCCCTCTCAGGCATTTCATCAAATACGTGACGAGCCCTCTCAATGTAACCCACTTCTGCAAGATTCTTCAAGCATATATTCCACGAATACACATTCTTTTCCAAAATTTCGTCAAATGCTTTCAACGCATCACTAAAAAGTCCAACTTTGCCGTACATGTCAGTGCAACGATTGCCCAGAAAAGTATTGACATTAAGACCAAGTTTGATCAACCGGGCATGAACAGATTTAGCAGAATTTGTGGGTTTTGTCAACGTTAAACATTGATCAATCAGTTTCCCGCAGAATGAAATTGATTTTGTGTGGAACAATCTACGATATTGTGCTCTGCGTAACAGAAGAAAGTTCATGCAAATGCAGAGAACACTG